AACCATCTAAGAAGACTTTCTCTAATTTTGTTTGTCACAGGAGCTTCACCAACCCTATCACGGATATATTCATTTTGTATTTTATCTCTAAGTGTAAAGCCACTCATCCACTTAATCATTCTCATCTCGGCAACACTTAACTTAATATTATGCTTCTCTTTTAAAGGCCAACATTCAGTGTCATAGAGCATTGCAGGTCTCACCATCGTCTTATAAAAGTTTTCTTTCATTCTAAGCGGTACTTTTCTATCACACAAAAGACTCGAAGCATTCCTCCACTTCAACCAACCAACTTGAATTCTACTATTGACATCCTCATCTATATCACCATTGCTTTGAACAACAGATCCGAGATATCTAAATCGTTCACACCTTTTAATCATTTGATCACCCAAAGTTACACTTCTGTTACTAAAGCTACTACTACTAAAATTATATTCCATGTATTCAGTTTTAGCTCTACTCAAACGAAGGCCTTTAGACTAGGCCTTTAGACTCCAATGTAGACTCCAATGTAGATCTCCATAATTCAAGTTTTTCCTGGGCTTTTTCTCTTGCCTTATCAACGAGAAGAATATCATCAGCAAAAAACATACACCAATGTACATTCTCGTGTAAATGTCCAATAAGACTATCCATAACTAAAGCAAAAAGATATGGGCTTAAAGCAGATCCCTAATATAATTTAATTGAAATCGGAAAATACTTGGTCAATCCTCCTGCTATAACACAAGTAACAACTCTCAGCTCTAGTATACATATCTTTGATGATTTGAATATAAATCATATCAACACCTTTCTTCTCAAGAACTCTTCAAAGGATATCTCTTGGAACCTTATCGTAAGCTTTTTCCAAATCAATAAAAATCAAATGTAGATTTTCCTTATTACCTCTAAACTTCTCCATCAAACCTCTCAATAAATGTATAGCTTCCAAAGTAGACATGCCCGACATAAATCCAAATTGATTATGAGAAATCTTTGCAATACGTCTTAACCTATGTTCGATTACTCTCTCCCATAATTTCAAAGTATGACACATCAACTTAATTCCTTCATAATTTGCACACTTGTGCATCCCTTTATTCTTAAAAATGAGGAACAATATACTCTTCATCCACTCAGACATCTTTTTAGTTTTTAAAATAATATTAAAGAGTTTAGTAAGCCAAGAAACTCCTAAATCTCATAAATATTTCAATATTTCAATTGGGATATCATCAGGTCCTACAAACATTCCACCAGTGGTTTTCTTTAAAGCCTCCTCAACTTCTTTTTTACTAATGCGATGGTAAAAATGAAACGTTTTATTATTATTAACTATAGTAAGATCACTAATAAATCTAGAACTAATAAACGATGTTGAGTACATAAATCCTCACTTGGAATGAACTTACAATATTTGTGATCTCGACGATCTCTTCTTCTCATAAAAAATAATCAATTTATGTTTTATTACATCCATTCTTATAAGTATTAAGATGCTCATCTCTTTTCTTGAATAAAATGTTAGTAATAATAAAATCGTATGTTAAAACAAAAATGTAAAATAACTCTATCTTCTTCATTAGTCACTTTAAAACCGTAGCCACCGTGAATATTACTGAAATGTTCTACCACTTTACCAACATGTCCATTTAAATCTCCTCTAATAAAATTTTTTTTTTAAAGAGGTATCATTTGTATTAAGTCTTCAAAGTCATTCCAGAATTTATCTTTATACCCTATATTTAAACTTACTTGAGGAACATAAGCACTTATAATATTAAAAATCTTAAGGGCTATAATTCTATCTCCAACTCTATTAATTTTTACAATATTTCTTTCAAACGCTTATCAATAATTACACCTACATCATTTCTAGTGCGACTCTTACCAGAATACTAAAGTTTAAAACCTAAGTTATCAATCACCTTAGTCTTTTTCTCAATCCATTTAGTTTCTTGAATACATAAGATATTAATCTTTCTATGAATCATAATATCAACTAATTTCATTAATTTACTATTGAGAGTATCTATATTCTATGATCTTATCCTAATATTAATTTCATTAGTTTCATGGACTAAATTTTTTATCCTCATCCATCTGTAATGTGGGAATCCTTGCTTATTTGACACTACACCCGGACGCCGGTATAGCGGTCCTTGCACACTCTTCACTATATTCAGGCTATACAACACGTCGTTTCCAAGGGACGCCATAACACTTACACAATGATAAAAAAGATTCATGTCATGATTTTTTTAACAAGTTTTATGCTGGTTGTCGACTACTTAACGCAACCGGGCTGTAGTAAGATCAACATCCGGGCTTGGGACTGGTAGTAAGATCAACAAAAAATTATGGATCATTGTGTTTTAGTGTTTTGTTTTTATGAAGCTGAAATACCCCTTCTCTTGTTTTTAGAACCTAGATCTTGGGTTTTTTTATTGGAAAGAAGGTTGTAATATTATCTATTAAAGATTAGTAGACAATAAATCCTAGCAATTTAGTCTATAAAAGGGAATATTTGTGCTAAAATATACTTAATGCCTAGCACAATACTCAACTGGAATAAATGGAGTACAAGCATTTATGTGGTTGACTTCGAATGCTTGGGTTATGATTAATGATGATAATGGGGCATGTAAAATGGAGCGTAGAAGATGCTTTAGGAAGTCAGGTCATGTTATTAGTTGAAAGGAAGGAATATGAAGAAAATTGAATGTGGATCTAAGTTCAATGTTTAGAAGTTATGTGGACATACTTAAATAGATTGAACATCACATTTATAACACGTGTGAATGAATGGTAATAAGGATTAATATAATTAACTTCCAACGACCTATAATAATTGATTAACAAATAATGATGACAATGGCTGTGATCCTCGTTGTTTCTCTGTATGATTTGTCAAATTAATTCATGCTTTTATTGAAAGTTTCTCATTTTACGACCATAGATGCATATGTTTAGTGAGCTTATGGGATAAAAAGAGATATTATTTGTAGTTTTGCTCTATATAATGCGTTGTGATTTAATATTTGCTTTAATAACAGCATATGATTTATGTTGATAGAAAGAAACATGCATTTTTCTATATTGCACTCAAAAATTTGGCTATGGATGAAACTAGCATCTTACTACCATCATTTGCAAATTGTCCCCCGCCCCAATCTCAAAAATCACAATCAACCCAAACTTTTTTTTTCACTTTATTTAAATTTTTAATAAGTTGACCATGGCGAGAGCAAAAGTACATATTAGGTTGTTGATTTTTTTGGTTGGTATTATTTTGTAGGTCAAATTTTTCTTGCATGTGCATAATTTTCCAAAAATAAAATTGTGCTTTATTCTTTTGGCTTATTCAACCTTTGTTTTCTTCTTTTCATACTCTGTCATTCTCTTTTTTATTTGATGTGTGGCTTTTATGTCTGTTTCTGATTGCATGATGATGAAGCTCGAGCATATGGTTACCTTAGAGTTTTGTTTTGGTTGGTGATAGGATGAATCTAGAGCCATCTAAACCCTAGCTCATGATTAGCTCAAATTCATATGATTTGATCCCAAATTGTGCCAACCCTAGTTATAGGTTGGCTCAATTCAATCCATACATGACTAGAAAACATCAATTTTGAGTTATTTTTTAGCCAGAAAGATGTTAACCCATCATACCATATGTATATATAGTGAGGCCTGAATTCAAGAACAACTGAAATTATACTCAGTGTATTGGTCAACTCGGTGATTTTGATTTGAGCTTGATCCAAGGAAAGAATTTATTTGATTTTTGAGTGATCTTTAAGCCAAATTCATATCCTTTTTTGATTGCAAATGAAATCCTTTGTCAGTTTATGTTTAAAATAGGTGGATAATTAAATATGTATGAATGGGAATGAACAAGGCACTGGCCTATTTTTTCTCAGTTAGCTATCAGTTTTGGTAGAAGAGTCCTTTTTTAGTTATAATGTAGCCTATTTCATAACATATGAGGTGTTTCATTTCGGTTCACATTTTTTGAATATTGTTCATTTAGGTCCTTAGTGGCTTTCTGATTCACAAGTTGAACCTGAGTTAAATTCAGTCTTCATTGATGGTTTGTTCTATTCAACATTCTCTGTTATGTTGCAATGTGAATAGCTTTTTTGTTTAAATTGCCAATTTTCAATTATTTTTTTTGGAAATGTCCCAAATTGGAAAAGAGAGGTTAGGATATGAGGAAAGACTATTATGATTTATATTAATTTCTAAGCAATATTTACCCAGAGTTTTTTCTGTTAGTAAGAAACGCTATTCATCGTTGATTCTTTCTAAGCCTTTTTCTACTTCTTGGCTTCAGAGGCGACCTTGTCTGTCAGCAATTATTTATTTACCTTGGTTGTCTTTTCATTAGATTCCTTCTCTGCTCGGGCTTTCTTTGGCCTCTTTATCTTTTAGCACAAGCTTCTTCTTCTTCATCAGTTTCTTTTCGACCATGGGCTTTATTAGGCTTTTTGACTCTGGGGAAGAAAAAAAGAAGAGAATAAAGTGGTCTAGTAGAATAGAAAATTTATTTAGCTTTATTAATGAAAATTCTAGAAAGTGCCGGTCAATTGGGCGTTTTATTTTATATTTACAGCTTTGCTAATGAGAGAACCAAAGTGATGTATCATTTATATCTTTGGTACCAAAACAAAGGATTTTATAAAATGCTAGTTATAATGTTATTTTTCCTATCAGCACTTCTACTGTTATTCTCAATTTCCATGGCAGTCTGGTTTTATTATTTGTAGTGGTATGGCTGTTTTTATAATTAAACATTATTTAAGTGGTCCATGAAACTGTATTAATGCAGCATCCTAAAATTTAACAGTGCTTGATTAGGGTTTAAGCGTTCATCTATTCAATATCTTTTTTTATATGAACAGTAACTGATGCTTATTCTTTTGGTTGATGCTGTGAGTTTTTTTTTGTAAACCTCGGATATGTTCATTGGAATTATGGTTTCATTTTTAACTTTTTCCCCTTATCTTGAGCAGATAACTAGGAACAATGGCAGGAGTAATGCATAAGTTTTTGTTTGCTTCTATTGCCATGTGGATTGCTCCAATCGTAATTCTATATGGGTTTAATCACCATTTATTTCCTGGTAAGCTTCTTTGGTTTTCAAAACAAGATAACGTTTTGCTTGCATTGTTTCAATCGCTTTCTTGATATTAAAAGCAGTTCTTGTTCATCTTTTCTTTAATGGGTTGTGATAACCATTACTTCATTTTTGCATTTTTTTCTCTTTATTGCTGTTGGCCAGTGGCATTGGTTCTAGATGGCCGTACTATATTTGGTGGAATCTCAGCCTCTCACTGAAGTCCTTAACTTATATATATATATATATATCAGATTGCGACGCAAAAAAATTATTTTTTAAGAGAGAAATTGTATTTTTTAAATTGTTATATTTTTGAGGTAAGCACCTGAATCTGGTATTGAATGTATCAATTTAATGCGGTGCACGCAAGCCTCATGCTCTGATCGACCAAAGATATTCTATCTCTGGCTCCTTAGCATCAAGGACTACTTCATTTGTTATAAATGCAATTATATAACCTGGCATTTACTCAATTACTACGTCCTCCTAAAATTTACTCTCTGCAACCTGATTTGTTGTTCTTGAAAGGTGAAAATGTAAATTAATGTGATTTTTTTTGGTGCTAGAAGGTACCTAAATATTTATCGTAAGCAAAAAAACTGGAATTTTTGTGGATGTGTTGCACCTATCACTTATCAGAAATATCTCATTTAATATATTGCACGAAAAGATGACAACTGGATTGGTAAAAGCTTTACCAGTATGCGTGAGAGGCCACCAGCAGTTGATAAGTTTTTTCTAACGAAAAACTAGATATGTTCCAGAAGCCATTGACCAGAAAAGACATTTGTAGAGAAAAAAATCATTAAGCTTAATATGGCAAAATGTATTGTAGTCAATAGATCAACAAATTCAACCTAATTATATGTTAGTTGGGTCAGATTGATAACAACATAAATGACGAGATTTGTGTCTATGAAGTTGAAACTTAAATAATATTCAAGGCCTAATCCTAAGTGAGGACATTTGGGGGCGAGAAATAAGTAAAGATTCTTTTTTATTATTCTTTGAATCTTGAAGTAGAGGAAAAAAAAAATGTAGTGCAGTCAATGGAGATCCAAATATGAAAGAAGAAGCAAAATAATTAAAGGAAAAAAAGTATATCTAAAGGTTATAATGTGTGCGCTAGCTAGTGGAAAGTTCGAGTGCTTAAAGAGTGATTGCTTATAGAGGAAAAATGACAAAATACAAATAAAAAAAGTAGATTTGATTGTTTAGAAAAGCATTCTTTAAAGTGAAATTATGACAAGAAGGATGAGAAAATAATTTGCATGGAATATACTAGAAAACATAACATGACAATTTTCATGGTTTAGTCAGATCACCCTATGGGAATGATCAGGCATAGATAAATATTCATTATTGCAGAAACAAAATTATGCAAATATTGATGATAATATGTATATATCTATATATCATTTGTATCTACCCAATTCTCTCTGTTATTACCTTTCCAAATTCAAGCATGATTCTTCCATTGACTATACTCACCGAAGATAAATGAGATCTTATCTTCTCTGGTGCCTCCTCATTGGTCACTACCCCATGAAGATCAATAATTTCCACTTTTGAAAACTGATAGTTTAAAATGTCATTTGTAACCCTTAAGTGCTCTTTATCAACTGCCTAAGAAAAACTTTTTATGTATGATAGTAGCTAAAGTACTACCTACCCATGATGATTCCACCAACCCTTTATTTGTTCTCCGCCTCTATACTTGGTTGAATATATGAGAAGAATGAGGGATGCCTTTTAAAAGCATGTTACCATCCTTATCATATGTGCTTATAGGTGCTAGGTAACATTTTTACAGGATTGGGTATATATCGTTATGTGTTCGGTAATGTACTTGGAGGTTACGTGAAGTTTATAGGAATGCATGAAAAGAACATTAAAAATGTTTTAATTTTGCAATCTAAGTTGAGGAGAAAATTATCTTCACATCTCAAAAATAAATTGTTGTGTAAAGATCAAATTTTGTTGTATTGACTAGAGAGAATCATCTTTACATAGGACTTCCTCTCAATCATCCATAAATGTTGATTAATGTCTTGCAATAACTTAATCAATCAATGGTAAACTCATTATCATTTACCACATCTTTGTCTTTTTATCTTGCTACTCTTTTATTCTAAAATATCATTTGCTCTATAATACCCATCTAACCTATGAAATTTTCTACTTAATAGAAATTTATCCTGCGTGGCGTCTTTGGAATCACCAACAATAGATTTAATGGTTGCATACAACATTCTACTGTTTTCTTTTTTATATATATGATACCACCATTGCTTTCTCACGGTATAATCATAACACCTTATATCTGTCACGACCCTGCCCAGGGCTTGTAATTAGGGTGCGCACTATTTGGTTTTATTCAAGAAACCGAACCGTTTTAATAACTTGGTTCGGTTTTGACTTTAAAATTTCGGTTTTGGTTTTTAGAAGTCTTTCTTTTTTGTTTTCGATTTCTTGTTCGGTCTTAAGGCAAATTCGACCGAACCGACCGAAAATTGAAATCATTCATCGCGGCCAAATTACTTGAGCTAGCTAGCAAACTAAGCAAAAACTTGCAAATTTACTTAATCTAAATACCGAAATCATTCGTTGCTAAGTACTGAAGTAGTGATATTCACTTGGGCTTTTAGGGTTACGAGTTTTGCTCTTTTTAGTCCTTTTCTTTCTCTTGGCCTCGTATAGTCGCATCGCTTGCAGTTGCCCCATCCCCATATCCATCGGCTATATTCCCTTCCTCGTCCCTCTTCTATCTCAACTTGCAGACATTTCTTCTTTGGTATAAGGTTGAAGGCTCAGCGAGATACGATCTAAGCGGAGGTGTCGTCAAAAGTGGAAATTGGGGTGCGCCTGCACCTGCAGAAGAGGCATGAAGAGCCTTGGACCTTTGGGTTCACACGAATCTCACCTATAAGTTTTTTCAAATTTCTACTTTCGCCTTTCTCACACCACACTAAGCACACCCCTACCCCTAACTTTCTTCACTCTCTCTGTCTCACCACACTAAGTTCACTCAAGCGTAGTCTTTGTCTCGCAATTTTACCGGTGGTTTGAGTTGTTTGACATTGATCTATCTTCTTCTACAACGAAGGTATGCATTTTTATCCTTAAGGCCTTAATGACCAATGGCTTCCTATGCGGCTATCTGGCTAATCTGCTATGCCTGATTTTTTTTTTTTTGGTAATTATTTTTCTAAATGAATGAATGTTGTTATTTTGCAAGTGTTATTTCAGAACTTTCAGAGAAACAAAATTCTTAGTTAAATCGTATTGGGATTTGGCAGTGCTTAATTAAAAGTTTTCCTCTTCATTTACATTTTAAAGAACATTAGGTTAAGATATTAGATTTTAAGAGTTGGTTGGCACTTTGTTACCTTTTGAGAGTTTTCTGGTTCCTTTGGTGAATCATATATGCTTATCTGAATATAGTTCAAGTTAAATATGGGATGTAATGAGCATAATTGAACTGTATCAACTATCAAGCACTTTCATAACTTCTTATAGTGTTTCTTTGAAATGTATCAAGAAAATGTGAAGCACTTAATTTTGATTGTTTAAAGACTGCTCAAGGTTTAGGTTTACTTCAAAAATAGCTCCTAGGTAAATCATCAAAAGCTAAAAGAACATGATGAGAGGCTTATTCTTGAACATTTCTAGACTAGTGCATTCAAATCTATAAGTCTTATATTTGACCTTTCACAAATTTTTGGTTTATCAAAAACCAAACCATTTTAATTGAATTAAACTTTTGTTTGAATGGTTCGGTTCTACTAAAATTATATTTAGTTTGGTGGTTCGGTTTCTGGATATCAGTTTAGATCAGTTGGCCCAATTTTAAAACCGATTGATTCGAACCAACCAAATGTACACCTTTACTTGGAATTAACCAAGACGGGAATAAGACGGGAACGAATGGTCGGACGGTGAAAATCAATTTTTTGCTATTCTATTTCTATTACTAAATGCTTAATATTTAAATATTTATGAAAAAGCAACTAAAGGAATCAATTTAAATTTACAAATAGAAATGTATAGCTTTCTAGTTGTTGTTCTTGCCTTTTGTACACATTTGATTCTATTCTGTTCATCTTGTTCAAATATTTAAAACCTAAAAATAATATTAGAACAACATAATGAGCTATCTAAAGATAACACAAGATTAATCACACATTTAAACTACAGTAACTTAAGGAAAATAAATTAATATTCATGTTGGTTTTTCATATTTGTATAAGAAATATTATAATATGCTGTTTTTCATATTTTCATTGGAAATCTTATGTATGCTAATGCATGTTTCAATAACATTTTCTATATGAAAATATTCAAATCTTCTATATGCATGTTGACCTCAATTTTTCGTGAGGTCTAGTATTCCTCGTAGGAGTTAGGATCTAGCCTTAGGGGTCTTCCTGCGACTATCTTAGAACCTTAGAAGTGGTGCCCGCCTCGTTTTAGTTCGACCTATTTCCGTCCTCTTTTGGAGTTTCGCGTGTGCGGTATCGACTTCTAACACTTATAAGGATGAAACCGACATGAGGAAACCCAAAATGGATTCCTATAGGACCTTTCCGAGCCTTAGGGTGGCCTTCTGCACAATTCGCACTCCTGCGCGCACCAGCTTCGCAATTCGGAGAGTCGACGTGTCCGATCGTCGACGTGTCCGATCGCCGCAATTCACATTGCCTCCGCTTTTACTTGTCGAATGCTCGAGTAAACCTTTTGGAACGATCGATCGCAGGTCAATATTTGGTGAAATTCGAATTTCGACGCGTTTTGACCCGATTGTCGATG